CCCTGAGGGTTGTGTCTAATCACAGATAACTGATGCAAAGAGAGCAGGGAGGGCGTCTGAGGGGAGAAAATCCTCAGGCAGTGATCAGTGAGAAGGCTATCCCATCCATCTGGAGGATGAGCACACTCCACTGACTTTGAGTTTGTGTGTTAGACTGTGTTTGTGTGCCTGTGTAAGATTAAAAGACATAAGTGAAGATTAATTCCATGAAGATGATTACCTATTAGGGTCTAGCAAAAGTAATTTCATTCACTATAGAATTATTCTTTAAACATAAAAGCATGAGGAATATTATAACAGCATCTGATCTCTTTGTAGTGGCTTAATACACTGATTCATTACACAGTAACACCATGAAATCGAACTTGTGATTTTGATTCAGTTGCTTCGAGTTTGTGTGCGGGTGCACATTGAAAGTAGTGACTGTCAAGGTGATGTATGTCCTGCCGTTACTAACAATTTTCAACACTATATATGAATCTACCTCTGGCTGCCCGTGTGCTTCTATGAGACCCTAACCGCCTCTTTCTTCTCCTTCACAAATCAATAGTTCCCCCTTTTTTCTTTACTCCGAGCTTTTACCATGCTCATGACTCTGGGACAGGTGGAAAGCACCTCTGATCAGCACAAGCTGCAGGGGGAAGCAGACTGCCCAGATTTAATAAAATAAAAAATAAACTAGGGAGAATGACCAAATACAGCCTTGCATGGAAAAGTCTATGATATGATGGTTCATAGGATTTTATTGAGAGATGTATTAGTAGATGGGCTGAAAGTTATTTCTAGGTTTGTATTAGTTAGAAAATGTATATCATCTTCCTTCTGTTTTTCAAATCTGCATCACATTTTGTTAATCTCTTATAAAAAATGTCCCCAAAATACATGGAATCTGCTGGAAAGTGTAAATTGCAAGGTGTATTAAAATTATGGTCTAACCTAGCTGCTTATAATGCCTTCAAAATTAGAAAATACATCCAATTCCCTGAGCTATGATACTAAAATAGCTATAATAGAGGAGCACAATACAAGATAACATTGTAATCACAAAAATATTGAGAAATATTGTAATGGTATTAGTGTGGAATAAGAACCTATTTTCTTCTTTTCTCTCTTCCAACACTGTGACCTCCAGCATTTTGGACAATGTCATGTGTGTCTGGTGTGAGGATTTACTGCTGTAATTGTTTAGTTGGCTAAATATAACATTCCCATGTAAACTGGAAATTCATACCACTTAGAAATATATTATTCTACTTTTATTGGATTCCAAACAGACCTTGATTTGCTGTGCAGCCCTTGTGGAAGATATGGCAACAGGTTAGCTACATTTACTGCCGTAGCAGGAATGCTCCACGATGATCCATGTCATTTACAGTATTGTCATAAAGTTTTAAAACAGAATTGTTCCAGAATTATGTGCCAAAACATTGGAGTCCGTATTTACCCAAAGCTCTCCACCCTCTCCTTAGTATCTGTCGCTACATAACCCTCACAATGAAGTACAGATGACAGCAGCCTCTCAACAAAGATGTTCAGGATTTTTCTGCAAAACATACGGAGCTTCTTTTGTTCCAGCTATTCAGCTCCACCTTTAACTCCTCGGCCTGTCAGGAGCAGCTGGGAAGTGGAGGTGGGGGGCTGTAACTGAGGAAGTAGACAATATGTGAGCACACTTAATCCTTTTCATATAAAGTGCATCACACAGCAAGATTAAAATGATTGAATTCTAAGATGAAAAATAGGATATATGAGAAGCACCAGCAAACGCCTAAAGCAGTGAAATTGAAAGGCACGATAGTTTCAAACAAAACGAAAGAACATCAAGGTTTAAGGAATGGCACAAAGACTGTATTTTTTTTCTTTTATTCGTACATAACATGTAAATAAAGGAAGGTAGGAGTTCGTCTTGTGAGCAGTAGATTGATGGATCGAACCCCTGCACAAGATTGCCTGTGAGTCAGATAGCTTATTTTGAAGCACTTCAATCACTTTTTTAGTAAGTTACAACTGTTTGTATAATTCAGCTTCAAATAAGGAACTTGTTTACGATATTGTAGATAATTTGCAAGTCAAAACAACATTTATGCACAGTGATTTAGAAAGAAATAAACCAGTAAAATTGACATTGAATGCAAAAATTTGGGTGCAGCTAGCTTGTCATTGCCTTCCTTTGCTATTCAATTCGATTCAAATCTCACTTGCAGCTCAGTCTGGAAGTGACTGAGCTGCAGTCACTTAATAAATGAATCCTGTACTTTGATGCATTTCTCTTGACTTTTTTTTATTTGATACATAAATCAAATTATGCATTAATTTGCAATTATGTCTTGAAATTATTTCCATATTGCAAGTTTTGTAAATGTTGCAAATTCATTTTCTGTCAGACTAAAAACTACTAAAAATGAAGTTGTAGAACATTCTGATTGTAATACATTATAGTTCGTATACTTTGGAGAGAGTCCAAATTTTAGTTATCAGGTAAAGCTGTTAAGAAAACCAAAAGGTATCAGCCAGGAAAAGTCCTATTGGTACATCTCTACTTTGAAAATAAAAAATACTTAGTTTCAAATCATTTAGTGGTAATAGACCAATATTTTTAGTTAACTTTTTTTGAATAACTTGTTTTCACTTCCATAACTCTAATACGTATTTTACTTTTTTTTTCTTCTTTTACTTGGCCTTTTGTTACTGATCTCTTTCCCATAAATGCCAATTGCAAAAACTCCAATTATTGCCGATTAGTTTTGGCTCCGTTATCAGTTTCAAGCGTAACAGACAAGACGAGCTGTCTGGAAGAAGCAGCCGCAAAGCATACCGCAGATAATGCAAGATGGCTGTTTCCTAAATTTTTGATTTTGTTCAGTTTTTCTAAAATTTTACAGCTGTGTTTGCTCGCACCCCATAGCAGAAGATGGCTTTCTCTTTGAGGCTGAAAAAATTCCACCCTCCGCTGAACGCTGAATAAAACAAGGTTTACCAAAGACGACACCACAGGGAACCTCCACTCTCGGCTCAACCAATCTACTTATTTCATATAGACATGCTTGTTGCTTGTGTCTATGGTTACACATGTCTTCTCTCCAAATGTTAATGCCGACCTCGGTAACTTTGTTTTGTTAGGAGAAGAATGAAGTCAGTCTCCAAGAGGTAATAGCTTTAGGTTGTATTAGTGTTTTTACACATGCATGCACACACACACACACACACACACACACACACACACACACACACACACACACACACACACACACACACCCACACCCACACCCACACACACACACACACACAATTAAACCGGGATCTGACCTTGTGTATGTCCTGTGATGATTTCATCTTCCCATAAAATAAAAGGGGTGGAGCCTGTTGGAAATGTTAGTTAAATTATGCTAGTTTTAATGATGATTAACTTTAGCGCATGTTGAAATATTAGACTGATCTTGATTTTGAGTCGGCCTCAGTTTAGGTTAGATTTAGACTCAGTTTAATTGATGCATAACTTAATCAGTAGGACATTTTTCTTGGAAATAATGAGCACAATTTGATTAAAATTAGTTGTTCTTTAGTTGATGAGAAACACAGATGGCTAATAAACGTTGGTCCTGCTTTCTTGAGTAAAATATTGCCATATGAAATGAACTCTTCTATTGTTCGTATGCTGGGAAAGTGTACAGGGAGGATAGCTTGGACAGCGGATAGATTCATCCCTTGGCCTGGGTAAAACCTGCATGGTCTCTGGCGAACAAACAGCAACATGTCATCACGGGTTGTTTGAGTCCACCTCTAAACTGTATGTTTGAACGCATCAGATAGAAAACATATCTTGATGTAAAAGTAATTGAGCTAAAACAGCCAGTCAGATCACCTGGGTGGAACTGTCTCAACTCCCATACGCAGTGGTCTCCGAAGGCGCGTATTCGTATATTTCTAAGGTGATTAATTTCTTTGTGGCTTTGGTTTCTGATGATTATGTTGAGCTGTTGATGCGATTCTATGCACTGCATTGTTGGAATGAAATTCTGGTTGATTGGGAAGTTGAACAGTGACTGTTGTCTTTGTGGTTTCACTTTTACGCATGACGTCAACGGACCTGGGGAGACGAGATGACAACGAGCAACGGGTAGAAAATATCTCGTTTCTCGACAAGACAAATAAGCTCCTTTCTTTTATAAACACATGTACTGCATTGAACAGATCGTCCTGGAAGCGTGTCAGGAGGTTAGTGAAAAACAATGCAGTCAGAGTATTAGACTCTGATCTGACTATAATTAAAACATGTAATACCAAGGGGTTTGCTGAAGCAGACCAAATGCCAATAAGTGCTTATTCGTAGTCAAAAAATTAGAAAAAATAAATCTTTGCATGTTGAATGATGAGCAACATGATTTCTAGAGCACAGATTCTCAATTTTTTCCATCAGTAAATGCTAGGGTCTGAAAGTACAACTATGCTGACATTTTTAAGCAGGACTTTAAAAGTACAACTACTTTTTCAGTTCTTGAAGCCTGGTAGTACTTAAAAAGGGTTGTGACTATAGCAAAATGTTTACCTCTTTTTCATTCCTAGCCTGTATTAATGTGTGTTTGGGTCCTTTTCAGCCATATTGTGTTCATCTTTTAAATGAGTTTCAAACCTTTGTCCCAACTTTCAAGTGATGGGGGCTATTAAAAAAGAGGTTTGGGCCTCTGGGAAGAAAGCACCTGTTTTGTACAAAAGGCATTAAATTTGACACTGGTGTAACTGGAGGAGGTGAGCTTACAGAGGACATGTTGGAAAAAAACAGTCAACAGCTCACCTGAAGCATCTCTCCAGTTCGTAGATGGAGAGCATTTAAATATTTGGAGCCTCTTTGAAACTTGACTTGTATGAACATGCAAAGCAAGAGGGAACACTCTGACAGACCATGTTTCTGATTTGTTACCTTAGAAGTGTGATGTCAATTAGAAATGACACTGATTGCCTCTGAACTCAATCGAAGTACCTAAAAAAATGAACAGAATTACCTCCACGTATGGCACCACTCTGCAGGTAAACTCCCCCAAGAGCCATGACTTCGTGAGCTCATGGAAAACCACCATGGGGAGGCAGAAGAAGATGAGCACAAAATCCCACACGGCGAGGTTGGCCAACAGAGAGTTGGAGATGCTTTTCATGTAGTAGTTCTGGCACACGATGCACAGGATGGCGATGTTGCCCGCTATGCCCACCAGGAAAATCACGCCGGATACGCATGTGATCGCGTAAGCGCCAAAAGTTTCGGTCGTCACTGGGTAGAACGGGTTCTTGATCTCGTCTCCAAAATCCGGCGAGCCAGGAGGGGTGATCGGTGTGGCATCCCACGGGTTCTCCTCCTTGAAGGTGAAAACCTCTGGCCTCCTGGTGAAGAGGTCAAACGGGAGGTCGGTGGAGGTGAGAGCCACCGGTTTGGGGACGGGTTCCCACGGCGGCATAACCACAGCGCTCCTGTTCTGCTTGTTTCTCCACCGCTTTCCTGCCTTTGAGCCTCTCTGGTGCTTGTCCCCCTCCTCCGTTACCCCTCCTCCGTCTTCTCGAGCCATTGAAGGAAGCTTAGCCGCATTGTAGTGTCCACCTGCCGGCGTCCCCGCACCATTCAACTTTATCCTCTTATTATGGTGGCGCGTAGCGTCCCAGTGGGACAACCCGCCAGGATCCTCCACGGGTGTCACGCTCCTATTGAAGTCGCGTTTAGCGTGTCCGGCTCGCCTCGTTTCCCCCGCTGCCGCCCTCTTCCACGGTCGAGTGGAGTTCAGGGTCGCACCTGTAGCGTGTCCCGGGAAGAGCGCGCGGTCTCGGGCTTTGTTTTGGCGGCTCTCCCGGGGCGGACCGTGGAAAGTCCTGCCAGAGTAGCCGCTGCTGTTACTGTCGTCTTGGCTCCCAGCTTCTGCATTACTGTTCTTCAGGGATAACAACACATGCGCATGGGCGAGTATTATAACTAACGTCCAAGGCTGCAGAACCTGCATGATCCAGGAGTTATATCACCGAGCGCAGCTTCAGTCCATCCTCATGATGAGCTGCGTCTGCAAACCCGGCTGCGAAAAAAAAAAAAAAAAATCCCAAAAGCGCCGTGTCTCCGTCAGCTTTCAAAGAGTTGAGATTGTCGGATCCAGAAGGGAGTCAACAAATATTGCAGAATGACGCATTTCCAAGCCCACGCTCTACAACATGCATTTCCCAGTTGTGCTTCTATCTGAGTGTTAGTTCACTGGGTTGGGTCGGCAGCAGCAGCATCAATGCGGTGCAGTCAGTGTGTAAAGCCCGCTAGACTGTGATGCACTGGAGAGGAGGGAGAGTGAAACAAGAGGGGAAGAGAGAGGGGGGAGCGGTTGATGCGCTCTCCTTATCTTCCTTTCTTCGGTCCTGGTGTAGGACCGTGCGCTGCAGGAAAATGGACTCCCCTGGCGGCTAACCCCGATCTGTCATCCCTCATCCATCATGGAGCATCCAGCAGCCCCGGAGCACACTACGGCTGTTGCCTCCTCCCCTCCGGCAGAGAGGAGCATGCCACGCCCAGCAAGACGTGCTAATAAATATATTACCCGTCCTTTTTTTTTTTTTTTTTTACGGTAGCTTTTTTTACGCACAGGCGGCGCTGTGACACAAATTGAGCACGATTCAGGTACACAGCATTAATTTTTGGCGGTACAAAAGCAGCGAGTGAACTTAATGAAATGCATTTGAACATTTTGTCATGTTCCAACTTCAAACGTCAATGCATTTTGTTGAGATTTTATTCAATATACTTGCACAGAGTGGTGCATAATTAGGAATAAAAATAAGATGCGACACGTTTTCCCTCGCTTTCAGTCCAACACTCATTTTATGTTGCAGTAAATTCTCTCATTTGAAAACTATGCATCTTTTTCTTGCACTTCATAATTATTCTTCCATTTGTAAAACCTGCAACCAAACCCCAGAAGTTTGGTTGCAGTGTGAGGAGACCTGAAAAACTCAAGACTTGTTGAGAGGCATCATGCCTTCTAATATTATGGGCTTTAACTTCCTTACTTTGTCTCTTACTTTTGTCTCCACATCCTCAAAATGACTTGCTTTGAGGAGGAAAATCCTTACTAAAAGTGATCTTCATTTGTTGTCTGAGCTAATCCCACTCAACTCCAGGCAATATTGACGTTGACTGTGGAGATTTCTGCTTCAAGCATCAATAACTGGATGGGTCATATTGTACCTGAAGCCAATCAATAGCCTTATCACAGTTTTTCTGAAACCATTAATCCTTTGGTGAGAGACTTTCAGAAATACCCCTGAATAGGATCCAAGAGGCTAAACCTAAAAATGTGAGAGGAAACATTTTTAGCTGGTAACCAATATTGGTAACAATATCTTGCTGCCTCATCATCTCAGTGGGATACCGTCAAGGTTATCTAGAAATAGATTCTTTGAGTTTGTCTTGTAGTGTCAGTGTCAGATAATCAGGAAATCTGTGACTCATTTTAGTGACTGAAAACTGAAGAGTGAGTGATTTAATTACCACATGAGACACAGAATCAGAAATAGTCTTTCCATGGGACCCACACTGAGTTTCCTGGTGGAAACCATAAAGACCTGTCTAAAATGTAGAAATGTGTTCTGCTACATCCTATATAAAGCAACACAGCATTTCAGAAGAAGAAAACCATAACTAGTGTCAAACATGTTGGTGTTAGTGTGATGGTCTGGGATTGCTTTGTGAATTCAACAACTTAGCATAATCAGTGGAGATTTTCTTAACAAGAGGTCCTGCCCATTGTTTTCTATCCATACTGAGTGATGTCACTTCTTCATTATGTGTCCATGTCAATTGATGACTTGTACGGAGGGACGCATGTTGAGGCTAATCAAAGCAGAATGATGTTCAGTAATTCTGCTATGCAATTTTGATTCTGGTATTTATTTCGATATTACTTTAACATTTAGGTATATTCTAAGCATTTTGCAGATAAATTATGGCAGGAATATTTCTCTGAAGCCATTGGTCTGCCACACAGATCTGAGATGCAGAATGTCACATTTACATTCACCTTGGCTCTTACTTTTTAAGAAATAATGTAAGCAGTCAAATGCAAGGAGTGTAAATGAGTGAAAGCAAGACATAGATAATATCTGAGTTACTCTATCAGGTGGTCAGTGTGATGAAGAGCGTTATTACAAAGTATATAGGGAAATGTGGTTATTTTAAACAAAAAAACACTTCAGGAAATGGACATCTTTAGCCACAACCTATCATTAAGTACGTCCAGTGGTCAGTCAATAGTTCAGCAGACCTCTAGAGGCTTAATGAAGTGAGCATTATTATCTGTCAAGTGCTTTAAGTACTTTAAATGGACTCACTGCTGGAGGATAAGACCACATGCATTGTACTCCTATGGAATAAAGGAACACACACTTTCTGACCTGAAACGTAAGGAGCACATTACACTTAAACACCATAAAAGGTACTTTTCCCAGTTATTTCAGTTTATTGGTAGATTTGTACATTAGCTGTGTCTGAATTCAGGGTCTGCGTCCTTCAAAGGACACATCTATGTAGGATGCGTCCTTCACAGGCCGCGAACAAACAGACAGGTCTCGCCCTCACCAACCGTCCCTACCCCCACCTCGGCGTAACTCATGTTGCCTCGCAACCGTGACAGCGTGAAGCAGAAAGCGGCGAAGAAAAGAAACAAAACAACAGAGCCGAAGTTTGTTTTTCAGTCACGCATTACTGATTTCTGTTTTATTCTTCACCTTTTACAGTAAAAGTTGTTCCATAGTGAAAAAGGAAATCTGTTAGTTTGATTCTAAAATGTTCAAATGTGTATTGCATTTTTCTAGAAGGAATACATATAAGTAAATTATTAATTTGCAAAATATAATACTCTCCAGATCTCAGACAGAACATTACAGTTAAATAAACCTATTATGTTTGAAGGCTTAACTTTAATCAATCAAACCGAATTTACTCTGCTTTGAAATACTTTAGTAAACCAAACATTTTTCAACCAGATATTACCTGTCTGAATAATATCTGTATTTAACTTTAACTTGGGGAAAGCCAGTGGGAGTTTTTCTAACATTGTGCCAGGATTTAGGCGTTCTCCAGTATACCGAACCTGGAGAGGGGAGCTGGCTGCTAACGCAGCGGGAGCAGACATGTCCGAAAATGTCAGCGCAACATTGCAATTAGGTGACATGTTGATGAACCGAGAAGATATTTGAGACTTACACACTTACATTATCGCCAATAAACGTTGTACCACATCATGTTGTGCCATTTAAAGTGTAACATAGCAAAATAATTTGCTTCTCTTCACCGCCTTTGTCGCTCTGCCTGAATGCCCGGTTGGCACACGCAATGAATTATGGGATATGTTGGGCCGTCAAGGATACATCGGACCCATCTATCAAATTTTGGGAAAAAAAGGACACATTTGAAGGAGTCTTCGAATTCGGACAGGTCTTGTCGCCACGCTGTGACGCAATAGGCTTACAAATCCACCCTTCGAAGGATGCAGACCCTGATTTTGGACACAGCTATGATAATTCTCTCAGTAGTGCAGCATATTGGCTGACAGAAATGGATATCTCGCTGGTGACCTTCTACATCAAAAAGGTGACGGAGCCAACTCCAGTCAGGGAATCGAATCCCCCCCAACCACAAATATCCAAACTATGCCAAGTTTCACCATGTGGAGATAATCCATAGTCAGTATGATGGATTACCTGAGCAGCTTATGATGATATCTGTATTTTTACCTTGGTTTTTCAAGTGATGGAAAAAATAACAGAAGCACAGTTAATTCCTTATTTTAGCTCAGATGAGTTTTTAATAGTTCAGATGTCAAGATAAGAGAAGGTACAGTTAAACATACAGTGTAGGAGTCATCAGGTTTGCAGGCATTCTTCCAATGTTGCATTTTGAATTGCAGATTAAATGTGCCCAACAAGCTATGCATAGCATGTAATAAAAAACAAAACAATAGAATGTTTATTCTTAATTATGTTATATATAAAAAAGGACAGTTTACATAAGGCCATGATAACTTCAATACCTTTGTCTCAGTTGAAAACTGCACTTTGTATTTACTTGGATTATCTTTGTTTCATATTCAAATTTGCTTGATGATGGAACAGGAAAACAAAATGTTTAAGGATGTGAATGCTATTTCATAGAGCTGTAGTTATATTAGGATTTATTGTTTTCACTATTTTGGCACTTAATCGTATGACAATTCTGGCTAATTTCACAGTAAATGCTCAGCGTTTTTACACACTTAGCATAGAGCTGCATATGTGACCTTGAACACAACAACTGCAACTCACAGAAGCATTTTAATCATTTGGAAAAAGAACAGGGCAACACTTCACATGTAATTATCATGTCTATTGTGAATGTGGTCCACAGAGACTGTGCGATTTGGCGTGTGTGGGTAGAGATAAAAATGAAGAGCGTCTCTCTCAGATGTACTCATGCATGGAATAACTAAATGGTTTAAACGCAAAGGGACTTGAAAGGGCACAAGCCATGTGTGTGAACACATGACATAAAAAAGGGAAGAAGTGCTTTTGTGCACAGCAGGACGTCAGGATACACACGTTAAAAAAAATCTTGAGTTCAGTGAGGCATAAACACAGCCTGAAGAACACCTCCAGGCCATAAACATTTCATGTATTTCATGGATATTTATCATGTTTTGCTCTGTGCATAATAAATGATAAACATTCAGCCACAAACAACTTGTCAAAGTCGGCCATTTTGGATTTTAAAGTTGAGGCTTATGATGTTCCTCTGACTTTCCAGGTCAGATGGAGAACTTCAAAGGCTGTTCCAGTTAACATTACCTGCTGGGACCATCCAAACAGATGTCCAACATCAAAATGAAAACACTTTTCATCAATAGAGAGAGATGAGGCGTGTTTGAGTTATTTTTAATCATGCCATTACATGGTAAAATGTTCCATCCTGGCCAAAATTGACACCAAGCCCAGGGTAAATCAAATCTTTGGGTCGTTGGGAAAACATTACATTTTATTCAAGCTGAGTACTGTGTTAGACATCCATGAATTATTTACATCTTTGTGAAGTTATTTCTTTTTTTTTCTTTAGCAGGAAACCATTCTCCACATGATTTAGTATTAACTGGAGATTTTTACCCATTGCAACAATTTAATTTGGTTCACTCCAGTGGGAAACGGCTCATAACGTACAGCTATAATTAAGAAGAGCAGTCTTTTCAGGTGAAACTGTGGTAGAAAGACTAACAGTCATTATGTTGTACTTGACATGCTCCAGAAGTTTGTGAAAATCATTCATTTCTTTAGTGCTTTTTAATCCTTTTATCCACTTTGTCAAAAGACACATTTTACTGGCGTCCGTTTCTCTGTTTACAGGGCAACACAATAGGCTGTTGCTCCTAGAGGTTTTTGCTGAAGTCACTGTTACAGCTCTTTATCTCTTTATGGTGAATAATGTTAAA